GCTTCCAGCTTAAGTGACATGGATCACTTTTGTTTTTGTTTTTGCTGGGAAGAAATCTTCGTGCAATGACTTTAAAGAGCTGAAACATAGATAAGATTCTTTCAAAAATAAAAAGAAGATACAAGAGGTGCAGCATCTGCCAGATAAAATCAAACGATATGGTAGCATGGTGGCTAGGGGTGTAGATAAAAGGAACGGTTCTTTACATTATCTCTATTTTACCGTGTTTTTGACCCCTTATGGGAAGTTTTATTTATTCTGTTTGTGACATATAAAAAATTAATGTAAAAAAAATTAAAATAAGAGGAATGTTTGGAACAGAATACCTTTTGTCTGAATAGTACATCCAGAACAAGCCAGACTGTTAAGCATGATTCCAGCCTTGGCATTCAAGTGAGTATAAAAAAATCTCTTGTCAAACAAATCCGAGTGAAACTAAAATATGATATTTTCACAGTGAATAAGTGTGGACATGGAGAAACACAGCAGATTATTTTATTTTAAACTCATATGTCTTCCTCTTGGCTCTGCTAAAGGACAAGAAATATCCAGCTGGAAAAGTGGAATGCATCTGCAATTTATCAGATTTTTAACAAATTTTTTAAGAGTATGAGAAAGAAAGAAAAACTGTTCCTTCCAAAACTGAAATGGCTAAAAATATACTGACTGCTCCAAGCAAGAGGTTTGTATATATGATTAAATATTAAATAGGTCTAACAATGTCCAAACCATGCCATTCTAAAAAACAAAAAAATCCAGATTTAGAACCTTGGCGTCTGTCCTCCTCCCACAGACTGACCTGTCCTCCATGCTCATGACTCATTTAATGGATGCAGCCTCTTTCCTCATCACAACAAAGTGCTGAGTGACATTTTGAGACGGTATTATCTGGTTAGTTGAAATAAACCCCTCTTACCAAGTCTCCCACATTTCTGACTCACACTGTCCCAACCGCGGTTGCCTGTAAAAGTGAAATTAGAGACTCAAATGGATCGGAAAAGCTTTTCAGTTCATGGTGGGGGGTTCTGAAATACAAATGAAAAATAAAAAAAATCTAAGGTTGGGAAAAAACAAACTAAGGTGAGTAACACTATTTGACTCTGTAAAGATGCTGCAGTAGGGCTTATAGGAAGGGGCATAAACTGTGTGCAAAAATAGAAAATAAATAAAATATCTGAACTATTAGGTTTTCAAAAAGTTGGAGAAGTTCAATTGCAGCACAATATATATACAATATTGAAGAAGAACCAAAATTCTGATAAACTGACTGCACAGATTGCATTTTAGGTATATTTTCTTGCTTAAAAAGGTGTTAACCTTTTTTTTTATTCCAACTAATTAAAGCAAATAAAGCCAAGCAACTTTTTGCTTGGCTTTGCGGAAGCCAAGCAAAAATTGCGGAAGAGTAAAGAGCAGCTCATAACCTGCGGAAGAGTAAAGAGCAGCTCATAACCTGGGGCATTGAGCATCCAGAGTGTCTGACTTCAAAGGTGCTGAAAGATGCCTTAAGAAAAAAGAAAAATGATGGAGTTGTGCTGGTAGTAAACATTTCACTAATGACAAACATTTAGACCGAATCAATGCTTGCCATGGTAAACACAAACAATAAGAAGGCCTGGAGTGATGTGTCATAATATGCTTTGCTAATATGCCAATATCAGCCATTTTGGTGGAACGAAGACCAACTCATTTGTGTGGAAGTGGAAGAGGATGAGTTGGTTAAGAAATTTAAACTTGTGGGCAAAGTAAAAAAAATGAAATCTGATTCTCATTAAGATCATGTGAGGTGATTTGAAACAAGCTGCACACACAACCTCTCAAGCAAAAAATTAGGAGTAAGACCAACTTTCCAAAGATTAACATCCAAGGCTGGTACAAGATGCAGAGGTTATTTTAACCAAAGAGGAGAAACCTGCCTTAATGGTAGAATGTAACAAAAAGTATTTCTTAGAACAGACAATATGTTGACGTAAGTAAATGTTAGTAGTTATT